TTTTCGAGCTCATTCCAAAAGCAAAGGTGACGCTGCGCCTTATCAGCAAGAGTATGTTGAAGGGCTGCATGCATAAGATAAGACTTTGTGCTTTTGATTTAGTTTCGTCATCAGCACTTTTTGAAGTGACTTTTGGCTTAAGTAGGGAAAGGAATAGGGAAAATATTGGTTTTGAAAAGTAGACGTAACCGCAGATTTCCTAGAAGTTCGTAATGACATAAAAATTAAGTATAATGTAAAATAGAGATATGTGTATCCCATCGTGTAAAAGGTGAAAAAGCAGCGAACTGGAAAAAGGTGTAGCCCAATTTTCTTTTTTTAGATCAAAATTACGCCCAGTTTCAAACACTTCCTCCATGGCTACAAATCATGCATATAAAAATTCATTATTTCTTGTATTACAAAAAAATCAGGTTTTTCCGCTTTTGATAATTTAAGGCTCAGCTCAAGAAAGAAGCATCTAAGCTTGTATTACGGTGTCGGATAAGTTCATACCGTTTCTTTCAGCCCCAAAAAAAAATCGAAGAAAGCGGAAGTTTTGGAAAGTTGCATATCATTTGGAAAAAAAATGCTTCTTCTACAAAAATGTGTACTATTTTTAATGATTGAAATTGTGTTAAATTAAAAGTGATCTAAACTAAACGTCAATGGACCAAAAAAGCTCAATCCACAGTTATTTTTTTGGAATGCACGCAAAACAAAAAGTAGAATAATGTTCACTTGTGGGATGGTCGGGTATGTAGGAAATAAATACAATTCGTAATTAGAAGGGAAACTAGTTGTAATCCTGCAGCGTGCCAATTACCCCGCACTAACTATTGTTTTACTAAATCGCTTTCTCGCATTCCAGAAAGTTTAAGCTGCCGTCTAGGCTTACTTCGGTCCTTTGAAAATGCAATTTTAGTCATTAATTAAACAAAATTGGAATCACTGAACAAGCCAAGTTACCATCTTGTAGAGAGAGATTTCCGTTGAATGATATAATAATCGCTGCCAACAATTCCAATTTCTCAAATTTATTTGAGTCTGAAAAAAAAGCACGAACTTATCGACAACCCAATAGCAAAACAGCCGCAAAGAAGAGCTTTTTGTTATGGGAATCTAGCAGTTTTGTAGTTTTGTAGAAAGAGACAGGCACGTCGTCACTGACAAGAGAAGACGTGACAGATGACACGACAGACGTGCAACGTGTGCACTGAACTATTCGTGTGCATGTGTCACGGATGAAACAGCACACATATACACCCACAGTGCATCTAGGCTTTTATGTTTGCTGTTACACAAGATGGCCATTTTTCATACGTGGAAAGATTATGCGGCGTAGAATGCTGGAAGAAGTTTCGAGAAAATATAATGTTTGCAGTGAATCATAAGGATGAATGATTGACGTGCTTGACTTGTATTGCAACTATTCCATTCATAATGTAAACATTCTTTGTCATTTAACAATATCAAAATATCTTTATATCTTTTTATTGGACTTCGCAGCCATATTTCTTTTTGCCGGAAATCGTATTTAACTTGAACTTCTGTCCTCTTAATAGCGTTTTCTTTGACCTATCTCTTACAATTATATTTTTATAGTGAATCGAGTATTTGTGCAATTTAGAAAAGTAATTTGGCAAAATGTCTAAGAAGCATATTTGACATTCAAAACTGCATATTCGTACAGTAATGATTTGGTATCTGTTTAGTAATAATGCCATCAACATTCTCCAAAATCAAGCGATGTTTGAACTGCCACGGAGCGAATATTAGTGCTTGGTAGGGGGTATGAAGAATAAAGGAGAGGATC